TGAATGTGATGTTGTGGTCATCTATGATGGTTGATAATGAGGGTAATGACTCTAGTAGGTGTGAATTAGTGATAATTGCAACCAATTTTGGTTTGGATTGAAATGAGAAAAGTTAGGGTTTCATAACCCCCTTTTCTGTCCGGTTTTGGATCATAGGGTTAGAGGCCGAATTGGCTTTTGCTCAAAACATGAAAGTTGTAGGTATTGATGAGTTTGAGGTGCCTGTAAAATTTCAGGTCATTTGGAGTAGTGTAGAGTGAGATATGTCGATTTTACTGTTGCTGTTCTGGGTTGATCAGGATGGCAGAACTGCACTTGTATTTGGCTATTTTGACTGGAATTGCTTTGGATTTGGATGTTGGTCTTCTGATGAAATGTATCTGGATGTCTTAGCTACCATATACCTTTGGAATCAATGCATTTGGACCTGTATAGACTGAGTTGTACGAATTACAGCATAGTGTGATTTGTAAACCTGCAATTACGGTTCTGGTTTGGTATTCTGCATTTTTGACCTAGTTGTACTAGGATTTGACTGAGTGGCCTTCTATATTACTGTATCCCTGTCTTTTAGCTTCGAGATGGTGGGTTTTACACCCTCATCCGATAAGCGTAGCGCATTTTGTGCATTACTGCATTAGGAGGCCAAAACTGTTTTGTTGTTGGGTCAAATGAGTTACATTTCCTGATTTTCTGGTTTGCTATAATGCTGGTATATGTTTGCAAAACCCTATTGGGTTGTGATTGGCATTGCTTTATGACTCGTTATCGAGTCTCATTGTACTTGCTTACGTGTTCTAGGGCGTGACGGTGCGTTCACGACATTCTCCTGACGGAAGTGCATGAAATAGCACTTAATTGATTGGTGAGTATACTACTCACTTAAATTTACAATGTGGCTTTGTATATGTGAATTTGATGCCTTGACGGCTAATATGGCTATTGAAATGATTGTGGTGAGGGTGTACTTGACCGCCCTCACCCCCTTGTGATTCCATTCATGACTGTTTACCGTTTTACTGAAATACTGCACTTGCTATATGAGATATTGAATTCCATTCATGGAAACTGATTTGGTGTCGTTTGGACGAATGTCCAACGCGCCTTACTGTATTACTGAGCTCAACCCCGTAGGTAGTCAATTGGATCGAGCCGGCGAGGGCTTGGTCCGTGAATATTGACGTGCCACGGGGACTATACTGGGGAATCTTGTAGTAATGAGACTCTTAGTTCCGGCATTACCAAAATGACTGATTGGAGCCCGGTTGGGGTATATTTGGTGGAAGGAATGGAGCGAAGTGAGGTCTACGGTCGGGTATTCTTAAACATTGACGGAGGGTCAATGAGATTGGATCAAGAATGTAAGCGTGGAAATGGGCTCTTGAGAGCCATCCGTATCCTTTTACGACTTGTTTTACTTCTTAATTGTGTACTTGAAATGAAAGATTTTGCTTATGTGATCTTTATTGCTTATGTGGTAGTAACTCACTGGCTGCTTAAACTCATTCCGTTCCATTTGTTTTCCTTACAGGAAAATGACCACTTTTGGAAAGGTTATACTTGTTGGTTGTCAAGTTGAGCTCATGTAAATGTATCTTTTGGATAGCTCTTCGAATGAAACCCTAATGTGTATTGGTTCACTTTCTTTTGATTGGCAAACCGAACATGTATATTCGTAATGAATGGTTTTGATATGCCGCGTTGGCTTGAAATTTTACATTTCAATGTGTGTATGTTTGGTTGATATTTGGTTGAATTTCGGATCAACTCGTATTTCAAACGGCAAAAGAAAAAATTTTGGCTACTCGGCCTAGTATCTGGATTCTGATGTGGCCGGTACTGTTGATCATCGCTTCGATTTTCATTTTTTTATTTGTGATTTTGACTTGTTTACGCGCTGGGTATGTTTCGGAACGTATTAGATCGACGTGAACTAATCTGTAGTCCTGGCGAGAGTTGGGCAGGCAGTCCGCTAACCCCTTTGGTTCGCCTTAGGGAAAGTGGGGCTGTTACACAGATAAATGACCATGCTTCTTCGTTAGGTCAGTTAAAGGTCCGGCTAATTTGGAGAAATCTTTAATGAACCTTCGGTAGTACCCAGCTAGCCCTAGAAAACTGCGAATTTCCGTGGGATTTTCTGGCCTCTTCCAATTGGTCACGGCCTCTACCTTCGCCGGATCCACTGAAATGCCTTCGTGGGAGATCACGTGCCCTAGGAATGCTACTTTCTCCAACCAGAACTCGCACTTACCAAACTTGGCGTACAACTTATGTTCCCTTAATGTCTGCAACACCACTCTCAAATGCTCCTCATGCTCCTCGCGTGTCTTAGAGTAGACCAAAATGTCGTCAATGAACACAACGACAAATCGGTCCAGATAGGGTTTAAAAACCCTATGCATTAGGTCCATGAAGGCGGCGGGAGCATTGGTCAGTCAAAGGCATAATGGCGAACTCGTAGTGCCCGTATCTTGAGTTGAAAGCATTTTTGGAATATCCTCCTTCCTTATTAACAACTGATAGTATCCCTGCGGAGGTCCAACTTTGAGAAGACCACTGCTCCTTGCAGCTGGTCTAACAACTCGTCGATGTGGGGCAGTGGATATTTTATTCTTGATCGTAACATTGTTCAGACCCCGATAGTCTATACACATCCTCAAGGTTCCGTCCTTTTTCTTCACAAATAGGACGGAGCTCCCCAAGGAGACCCACTCTCATGAATGAATCCCCGCTCCAAAAGGTCTTGTAGCTGCAACTTAAGCTCCTTAAGTTCTGCAGGCGCCATTCGGTAAGGGTTTCGAGATAGGTGCGGTTCCAGGCAATAGGTCTATTCGAAATTCTATCTCTCTTTCCGGAGGTAAGGCTTACTAACTCATCAAGGAATACATCCAGAATTCCCTTACTACGGCCACATCTTCCACTTGAATTTATCCGTAGGGGTGTTAATCAAAAAGGCCAAAAATCTTGCGCCCCTCTACTTATCAGTTTCCTAGCTCGGATGCCCGAAATTAAAGCAGATGAGGCTAACCTACCCCTTATATCCAACCTTAAGGTTGCCTCGCCAGGAATGCGAAATCTACTATTTTTGTTTTACAATCCGGTTGGGCGTTATATTTGGCTAGTCACAAACGTTATATTTGGCTAGCCAGTCCATACCCAGAATCACGTCATACCCCTTAATGGACAAGCTAATCAGGTCCCCTAATAATCCCCTTTCACCTACCATACGTCACAATCCTATAAACCATACTAGTCACCTCCGAAGACTCTGGGATCTGATGGGGCTCTAAAGAATACACCTAGCGGGAACTTTAGGTTTGGACCCATCTCCCTTGGCTGGTCAGTATTGGTCCTCGCGGTAGTTGGCTTCCTTTTCCATCTTGCTTCAGGATTGGGCAAGTAGTCAATTGGTGGTCTGCGCTTCCACATCGCAGAACATTTTGCCCTGTTTCCTCCAGCAATTATCTTCGGTGTGGTTTGCTTTCCCACAATGCCACAGGGACCGGCGAGGTGCTGAAGCCGAGCCACTCCAGCATTTCCCCTTGTCCTCGCCCAGCTTGGCACCCTGAATGGAGTCCCTCGGCCTAAACCAGAATGTCGACCACCTCCCGTTCCTCGTCCAAATTTAGAAGGAGTACTCTTTTCACCCTGTCCGGAAGTACTCCCAGGAAAGCCACGCTTCTTAGCCTGGAAGTTCCAAACTTGCAACCGTGCACTTTCAACCGTTGGGCCTTTTCCACGGCCTCGCTAAACGCAGTGATTTGAGCCGCCGCGAGGTCTTTCTGAATCTCAACATTCAAACCCTGAATAAAACGCCTAGTCCGTCTTTGCTCAGTCATGATTAAATCAGGTGCAAACTTGGACAAGCGGGTGAACTGACTTTCATATTCCGCCACCATCTGAGCCCTTGACGGAGTCTAATGAACTCGTCCTCCTTCCTCTCCTGGACTAGAGGAGGGAAGAACTTCGCATTAAACTCTCGAATAAAGTTCACCCAAGTCCTGGGTGTCTGCTCCCTTTCTCATTTCTGTCTAATTACGTTCCACCAGGAACGGGCCGCTCCCTCAAGTTGAAACACGGCAAAAGTAACCTGCCGTTCATCAGGGTAGTGTAGGGCTGCAATATGTCAACATCTTTTCAAGCCATTTCTCAGCGACGTCAGGGTCGGGTCCCCCGACAACTTTGGCGGAGCGAACTTTTGAAAGCGTTCGAGAGCTCTCTATCCTCGCTCTCGACGTGGTTACCAGGGTTCCCGGGGTTAGGGTTTGGGTTTTGGCCCTGTTGTTGCACTACTTGTGCGAGTAGGTTAGTCATTTGCTGCATAGCAGCAGCTATTTGCACATTAGGTCTATTTGGGGTTCAGGATTGGGTCCAGTAGAGGTTTCCCCGTACCGTAACTGGTGTGGGTTGTCTAGATCCGCGCCAGTCCCCGACCTTCGTGTTCCTTCCATAGGTTTTTCTTGTCTAGACAGGAGTACTAAACCAAAGTAGTAACAAGACATATAAGTAACACGCAAAACTTTCACAATAACACATATTTATACATTTCAAAACATGATCAACAAGCACATATACAAGCCAGACAAGATCAAGCCACACACATATATACAATCAGTCAAGTCAAGTACGGCCAAGGCACGTACGAACATAAACGATCCACCCGAGGATTGGCCTATCAAAGAGATTTACACGTAGCTAACCCAACCCAAACGGTTAGCTAAGGCTCTATCCCTATCCCTATGTACATACAAAAACCACCAACTATCAAAGCCTAGAAGTCAAGGCCTAGTCAGTTGCCGGGGTCTGGGATCCAGGCGACGGCGGTAGACTCCTCCCCGCCTCAGCCCCGCATACGAAGCCTCATCGCTAGACTCCTCAAGACCATCGTCACACAGATTAAGGATCGCCTCAGCGCGACCCTGACTTTGCGCGAGCTCGCGCTCTCGTGCTCCCTCAGTTGGTCGCATAGGTCATCAACTCTGTCCTCGACCTCGAGCACGTCATATTCTAGTTCCTTGATACGTGCCGCTGCTTCTCATTGGTTGCCCTAACTGAGTCACCTCAGCTTCCAATGTAGCAACCACAGCTTCCAACTTAGTGTTATCATCCGCTAGCTCCTTACGCTCCTTCGCCACCGCCAATACTAGTGCGTTCGGAGGCTGATGTGAGACGGATCTAGACGAACACCAAGTTGGATGATTGGCGGAACTTTGACCCTTCTAGAATCACGAGCCACGAACTAAGGGATTCCTTAACCCACGACTAGCAAATTTAGTGAACCAAAAGTATAGATAGAGAACGCCACAATCAAGGAGACTACTTGATTGATAAGTTCGATGAACAACTTGAGATTAATTCTCAAGTATTCAAAGGAAATTCTCTTGAGACAAGATAGAGTGAATAAACTCACGTATATTTTTATAAAATCTGAAAACTGTCCTTTAATGAATGAAAACCTAGGCTATATATAGCCTTACAGGACTCAAACCCTAGAATGTCAATGGACGACCTTGCCTTCATTAAGGGTGAAAATGTCTAACAACTAATTGACTAAAATTAAGACTCTAAATTCGGCCAAAGTGAAGTGAAAATGACCGAAATTATTAATGCTAACAACAACTAATAATGGAAACTAAAACCCTAATTAGCAAGCTAGTACTCCGTGAACTAGTCTTCACTTGGTTCTTCCATTTGAAGGAAAGTGTATAGAGTAGTTTCTCCATTATGTAATCCTTCAATGGTCCTCAAGTCATCACCAACTCGTTCTTGAATCGTGCAAACAAGAGCTTGAAGTGATTCTTGAATTCTCCTAGCACGCGCTCTTGTAATTGGACCACTGGATATTTGCATGACTTGAGCACTAGAAGTTTGAGTAGCCTTGAGCCCCTCCTCATTAGTCCCCTCCTCTTGAAGGCGATTTGTCCTCAAATCAAACTCATCGTCTGCATGAAAAGACTCAAGTCAGATACATTAAAAGTAGCATGTACCCCATACTCACCTGGAAGTTCAAGTTTGTAGGCATTGTCATTTATACGCTCCAGGACTTGGAATGGACCATCTCCCCGTGGAAGTAGCTTACTACGCCTTTTGACTGGGAACCTCTCTTTGCGCATGTGTATCCATACCAATCGCTAGGCTCAAAGACCATCTTGCGGCACCCCTTGTTGGCACTTTGGATGTATTGAAGTGTACGCTTCTCGATGTTGGCTCGCACCTTAGTGTGTAGCTCACGTACATATGCAGCTTTGTTCTTACCATCCAAGTTAACTCTCTCATGAAGGTAAAGGAGTTAAATCCAAAGATGTGAGAGGGTTAAAGCCATACACAATTTCAAAAGGCGAATAATGTGTAGCAGAATGAACAGTGCGATTGTATGCAAATTTCACATGTGGTAAGCAATCTTCCCAAGATTTAATGTTCTTTTTAATAATTGCGCGCAATAAGGTAGATAAAGTCCTATTAACCACCTCGGTTTGACCATCAGTTTGTGGGTGGCTAGAAGTAGAAAATAGCAATTTAGTACCTAGTTTACACCACAAAGTTTTCCAAAAATAGCTAAGGAATTTGGCATCCCTATCAGAAACAATAGTGCGTGGCATGCCATGTAATCTAACTATCTCACGAAAGAATAAATCTGCAACATGCTTAGCATCATCTGTTTTAAGACAAGGAATAAAATGGGCCATTTTGGAGAAGCGGTCAACTACCACATAGATTGAATCATGTCCTTTTCTAGTCCTAGGTAGTCCAAGCACAAAATCCATTGACAGATCAACCCATGGTTCATGTGGAATTGGCAAAGGGGTATAGAGACCATAAGGGTGTACCTTTGATTTTGCTTGGTGACAAGTCACGCACCTTTCAATGTGTCGTTCCACGTCACTCTCATGCGTGGCCAGAAGAAATGTTCTTGGAGGATCATTAAGGTCTTGGCAATGCGAAGTGTCCCATTAGCCCTCCTCCATGAGATTCTCTTACTAGGAGTGTGCGCATGGAACTCTTGGGGACGCAAAGCTTGTCTTTGTAGTATAAGAACCCCTGAGAGATGAAATAATGCTCACGAGAGTGTCGTGGCAAGGAGGAAAAAATCTCACCAAAATCTGAGTCAGTTGCATAAAGTTCTTTAAGGAATTCAAACCAAGCAACTTAGCATCTAATGTAGTGATAAGGGTGTGCCTTCGCGAGAGTGCATCTGTGAGGACTCGCAAAAACTATTATTTTATGCCTAATTTATGGCTTAATAAATTATTTAATTGGATTTTATTTCCAAGGAATATTTTCTAGTCTTAGACCTAAATACATGGTAATATAACTTCGTTATATTTTTAAAATGATTCGTTTCGAAAATTAATTTCCTAGAGCGCGTTTAGTAAAAATAGTGAATAGTACTTGGAGATTTTATCCGCGTAGTAGCACATAAGCTTGGAATATTGGAGACTTGTACTATGGTCCTAAAATAGGTAATCTTAAGTATAAATATTCAAGTGATAGTTAGTAGTGCAATCGTTATAAGAATTTTCGAAAGTTTCGCGTTATAGCGGTAAAATTGACGGTACGCGTTTTCACACGCGCGACTTCATTTGAGGACTTTAGACCCTTATTTCGGACAATTAAGAGTGAATAATATTTATAATATATATGCATTAGAGGTTTAGTGCACTAGTGAACCAAACGCGCGAGAAAATCGAGCCAAACGACGCCTACAAGTTGACTTTGGAGCAATTTTTCACCACACATTTAATCTTCTTGGAGAAGCTAACTTAGATCAAATCACACTCTCTCTTCTCTCTCCTCACAGCCGGCCAAGCTCCCTCTCTCTCTAACTCATTTGCAACAAAAATTCTGCACACTAACCTCACCAAAACCACCCCAAATCACCTCCAAATCACACCAAACTTGAGATCTCTTAGCAAACCACTTGGAGACTACATCTAGCTAAGGAGGAAGGGAGCTCTTCACGGTTTCTTGGAGCTTCAAGAGGGCCGAAAATTCTGACTCTTGCGCAACCAAAGGAGTAGGTAATGATCAACCCTTGATTCTTATCTTTTGGAGATTATATGACAAGATTAAGCTCATGCATGCACTTAGTTACTTGTTTATGGTGTAAAAATGTGATTGTGGGCTCTTGGAATTCCCACACTTGGGTTGTTGTTGCTGATGTGATGATTAATGGTGATTATATTGTTGGTTTAGTGATTATAATGATGCATTAGTGATGGGTAATTAGTGGAAACTTCATTGGGTGTAAGAAGCTAAACTTTCCGATTTTGCCCCTGCCATGTTCGGCCATTTCCAGGCCAATTTTGGTTTAATTTGGATGTTTGTAGGATGTATTAGATGTGTGAAAAATTCATGAAAAATAATGAGGTTTGAATGGGCAAATGAATTTTTTTTAGAAACCAGCAAATCTGGAAAACTGATTCGCGTATGCTCTGACCAGCAGTAGTATTTTGGCTATAACTCTGTCCTCGGATGTCGAAATCATGTGCCGTCGGTGGCGTTTGAAACTAGACATTCCTAGCTTTAATTTGGTATATAATGCACGTTCTGATTCTTTGTGAGCAAGCCGAACCAAATGTTTTAAGTTCGCTGTCCTGTCACTCTGTTCATCTGGAATGAAGTGTTCAGGCAGCAACTTGATGCCCGAATTTGAACCAGATGGGTGCCGAATTTGGAAACGATTTCTTCTGTGATATTTTAACTCTATGAATGTATTTTCCAACGGCGTAAGCCATGCTCGATTTCGAGCTATATTGACTGAGTTGTGACTGAAACAAGTGGACTGCTCTGTTTTGGAAAACCCTAATGTTTGGACTGGTTTGGAACCAAATCTTGGAGTGAACTTGTTAGTTGATGTTTTGATATTAAACACTTACCAAAGATATTATGGGTATATCTTAGACCCTTATTTCACAAATGAACCATGGTTGGATAACTTTCTTGGTTAAACGATTGGAAATTTGGAAATGAAGTCAAGGCAGATTGCCTTAGGATTTTTCTTGAACTTCGGTTGGCTCATTAACTACCTTGCCGAAGGTATTTTTCCCCGAAATTCGATAGAGAGATACTTTCCATATAGTATTGAAATACTGCCAATTTTGGTGCCGATTCAAGTTCGTTTCGATACCAATTGAATTACTAAAGTTAGAGGTTCAAATCTGGAAAATTCTCATCCAGTCTTGAATTTGCTCAACTTCGGGCTACCGTATCTCGGTGCTCGAAACTCCGATTCTTGATCCGCTTGTTTTGTCATACACTTCACTTGCAACACTAATTGAGCTGAAAATTTCAGAGGCCGGTTTGCAACGTGCGAATCGTGCCGAATTTTCAAAGTTGGCCAAAACCAACTTCATTCTGCCTTGTAACCAACCCTGCATCTTCAAGCTCATTTTTGACCACTTTTCACTTCGATTCATGGAAAAGTGTCTTCTAGGAACTTATAGTACTCTCTAAGAGGTTTCCAACGGTATAAAGTTTTCCAATTCTCGACTTATACCGAGCGAGTTACGATTTTTCAAAGATTTATAAAACTGAAAATTTTCCAATTCAAAGAAATAGAGTTTTTCAAAAACTCTTTATTCTTTTGATATTCTTAAACGTTTTGCTTACGATTTTCATGATAAAAACTCAAATAATATTGTATACCTAAAAAGGCAAGTTGAACCTCGATTTACGTGTAATTGAGGTTCCTTTTTGCAAAATAATTCTTAGATTGTACTAGTGTACAATCTTTTGATAAGTGGGTTAATTGTGTGATTATCCACTATTAAATTGCCAGGCGCGCAAGGAGACCTTCAAGAGGATCTCACCGCGGACACTTGAACTCCGAAAATAATTCTTATTGAATTGCTCGGTGAGTGTCAAGTGTGTGAATTTGATACTTGCTTATTGTGGTATTTGTTGAAAGTTTTAAAAATAAGGGCGGGTGCGTACTTTATCGCACTCGTTCTAATTTCAAATGAATGAATGAATGTATTGAATGAATGAATGAAATGCAATGTTATGTCATGAATGCTTGTGTCGTTGGAGTGAACCTCCTCGACTTTCAAATGAATGGGGGACGCCCAAACTCATAGGCCGTCCTTAGACTCGAGCCAGCAATGGGCTTGGTCGGGGATTTGGGCGAGCCATGAGATATAAGCTCGACCTAATAAGAGGTCTTGCTTGGCATACTCGTGAGTATCGCCCAAAATAGACTTGTGGGCCCTTGGGGTGTACGGTGGACGGAGGGAAGTAAGTGGTGATCTACGGAAATGGAAATACCGACCCGGTTGACAGGAGGGTCAATGCGGGAAGGTATACGAATGACACGGCAGATCGAGTGGAACTTAGCTCCTGAGAGCTACTATATCCTTGAATTGTTTCTGATTACTTTTCCTGTTTGAATAATTGATTATTGAAAAGACATGGTTTTATTTATTAAATTGGGATTGTTATTTGACTAGTGCTTGCATGTGTGTTCTTGGCCTCACGAGCGTTTAGCTCACCCTATAGTTTTGTTTTCCTTAACAGGACCGACTCTTGGAGAAATATGGAGAAACCATCCGTTGTAATTTTGTTAAGACTCCTGTTATATATTTTGACTAGGCCCTGGTTTGGGTTGTACTTTTGGAAATTGTAAACTTGAAAGTTTGGGCCCTGATGTGTACTTTGAATTTAAGTCGTTTCATGATTACCCGATGTACTGGTTATACATTAAGTGACTTATTAAGCTTGAACGCTTCCGCATTATTGTATTCATGTTGCTCTCATCGAAGTGTTATTCGGTTTTAAATTGAATGGAATTGCTTGAGTCCTGGCGAGAGCTGGGCAGGCGTCCGCGGATACCCTTTGGTCCGCCTTAGGGAGATGTGGGGCGTCACAGTTGGTATCAGAGCACTAGGTTAGAGGTCTATATGGGAGACATATTAGATACTCTACCTTTAAGACTCGATATGGGAACTTAATCCTACCCTAAGTGATACTTGAGGCGAGCTAGCAACTAAGTTAGTCCTACCTCAAGTGACGATGGGATGAACCAACGATTAAGATAGGCATGCATTGCAGGATATTGGAACTGAGTAGTGATTTAAGTTTCTAACCTGAAAATATTATTATTGTTATTATTTTGCAGGGATGGCTGATGGAAACGGAGCCCCGGCAGCTAACGGGAATGGCCATGCGAATGGTCATTACGAGCCCTTAGGACTATCTACTACCGACTATAGCAGGAGGAGCTCGTGTACGCTACTCACCGTATGATAGATACCCTCGATGTTCGTGTAGGTTGACTTTCGCCTACCCGACTATGTGGTGCTTGCTTTGGACGACGAGCGTCGTCAGTTGGTGGATGCCAACCGTGATTTACAGGCTGAGGTAGATGAGCTTAGGCAGATGGTTGGCGCTCAGGGTGAGCGGATTGCTGAGCTTGAGGAGGTGCTAGAGGGTGAGGTAGCCACATCTGCAGTGGTTAATGAGGAGCTTCGGGATACTAGGGCTCGACTCATTAGGTTAGCACGGATGTCCGTACTCGGGCTTTCGAGATGCTGGTTGATGCTACTAGTCTGGTTGAGGACGCTACTGCAGTGATTCCTGATGATGAGGAGGAGGATCCGGAGGAGGATCCCGAGGAGGAGGTTCCTCCTGATAGCCCTGCTATGGACTAGGATCTTGGTCGTTGACCCTTTTGACTTTTGACTGGTACAGTTAGGACTAGTTAGGGTGACGCGAGTGCTGAGGCCATTGTATTTTGCATGCTTGTGTGGCCTACTTTTGGGCACTTGTTCTTACTTTAGTCTTCTGTGACTAAAAGTATACTTTTGAGCACCTGTGTGCTATATTTTGTGAATTGTCCCTAACTTGCTAATTGTACGAACTTGACATGCTTATGAATGTAAATTATTGTTAATTTCAATGCTTTCTTGGTTAGTTCTAAATTCGATATATTCTTGTTTTCTGCTTAAATTAATTTATTTCTTGCACTAGGCACTTTAGACTAATGGAAGGATTAAGGAGTGGTCGAGGCCGTGGGCGAGCGTCTAGACAGGCCCAACCTCAGG